TTTTTGCATAAGATAACAGAATATAGAGAATAAGGTTTGTGTAATTATGAAGAATGTACTGTGGCTGGTAAGTAAAATAGAAATTCAAAGAACAGGAAGGTTAACACAAAGTTTTTAAAAAAGGAAATGAGAAAAATGAGGAAGAGGTTTTTAAGTGGTAAAAACATACAGGCTCAGGACCCTCAAGACAGAAATGAATCAAAGCATCAGGCTCCAGGCAGGAGCTGGGATGGGGGGTGTTGCTAAAGATCATTTCAGACTAGGGTAGAGGGAGCTCTGGATAAGATGTGAGGTGTGGTCTAGCAGTGGGACCGTCTTCTTTACTTTTGAGTGAACCCTCCAGCAGGGACAGGACTTGGAGCAGAGATTCAGAGGCGTACAAAGAGAGTTACACCTAAAGTCTTAATTAGCAAGTAGATTTTGAAGACTTTTGAAATGTTTCTACTCTTCTGGATATTAAGGTACCAATCTTTTGGAGGAAGATTTTACATCTATATTTTTATTTAAAAATTAATTTTTATGATAAGATATGAAAGGGAAGTTTTCTAAGGAGGCATCAAAAGACTTGAGATGGAGGATTATGGTGCATCTGAGAAGACAGTAAAAACTTTTAGGAATCCTATGAGCATCTGACCTGGATTTTAGGATTAAATTTCCAAGTTCTAACCTTAAAATGAGGAATATATATGAGGATATATATTTGTGTCTTCGGTATTCATTTTGCTGAAGGCAATTGGCTAAAAGGTCATAATGAGGAGATTCTGAAAGTAACTGAACAAGAAAGTAGGTCAGATGTTTCAGGAGATTTCTTGTGTGTGTGTGTGGGGATGGGTGTGAGGGTATTCACATACACACATCATACATATGCTTACAGTTAAGTCTATTTATACAGAGAGATAACCATTGAATCTGGTGCTGTTAAAGCTACCTTTGCACAAAATGCTAGTGGGGCTGTTTGAAAACGATGTTTTTAGGGCCTCAACTCATTGATGGAGGGAGTGGGGAGTAGGGAAAGGGAAAGGGTGAAAATGGACAGCCTGTCGCTTACTGTCAGTGTTCTTAGACCTTCTAGAAGGAGCTTCTCTGCGCCAACTTAGAAAACATAGTAAGTCTCTGGAACACTAAATCCATCTCATCAAAACTGACCTCAGAACAAATTAAATTCAAACATCGAACTGCCCTCCTGATGTCACTAGATTCCACACTCCCCTGTCACCACATTCCATCTTCTCCTCTGTTGCTAGGCACCCTGGGCACTCGTATTTCCCCAAGCACCAGGTGCTGTGTTTCTTTAGGACTCAAATATTCTTTGGTTCAATGCTATGGTACCCAGGTTCGCACCTGGAGAGAACTGTCACCCTGAGCCTGTGAACCTGAAGGCCATCCTGCAGATGTAAACACTGCATCCTTTGTGTAGCAGCCATGGAGCCACGTGTCAGGATGGAGAAAACTGTGTTGGGTAAGGAAGCAGATTACCCTTTTAAAGCGATGAGCTGATGTGAATTGCTATGACAAACAGCAGTCTGAGGTCTGTGATTTTTACGTTCCTCAATAAGCCTCTCTAAGAAAGAGAATAAAAATCGCTAACATGGGCACATGAGACCAGACAATATAAAATTGTTAATTTATCCTCAGTTTAATGTCTAATCAGTGCTCTATAATTATTTTATAATAAAGATAGTAAAAACTTTATCTTTTGATTTATGAAACAGTTTCTGAGACATTCTTTTTTAATCATTAAGTGATACATTTTATTTGATACAGATTAGTAAATTATTTGTCCTAAAATCTACGGATTTAGTCAGGAATGAAATATGTAAAGCTGCTGAATTTAGTTACCTTGGTAACATCTGGAATGAACTACACAGTCTAAAAATATTTCTCTCATTGTTTATGCCAAAATTATAAATATACAATATTTATTCAGGACTTTCTTAATGTTTATCTTATCTGAAAATGAATCAATGATAACCTGTTTACCTGATATAGCTATGAGGGTTTCAGATAAAAAAAGATAAAACATGTTTAATTTTCAATTATAATAGAAATTGGATTTGTTCATACTAATGTATCTTTGATTTTAAAATATAACCTGTGTTTAAAGATATTTGTATTTTACAAAGCTTTCTTACATGCAATGTTTATTATTTTTTAATGATTCTAGTCTTGCATGTTAAATACATTTTCTTCATTAGATTCGAGTGTCACATTCCGGTTTCTTGAAATTTCTTTGAAAGAAATAATTTTTTAAAAAAGCAGAAATTCCCCTTCATACTTTAAAGATTTGAGTAAACATGAAAGAAAGGCACAATTTTTCCAAATTATACAAATAAGTTCTCTAATTTTTGTTTCAGAAACGCTAAACTTCCACCGCTGAAAGAATGTTCTGGATTTCTCAAATTCAAATCTATAGAAAGTGCTATTGAAATCAGATATGACCCCCTAAAATCTACACTGAAATGTGGCCCCCTTAGAGTTCCCCAGAAGTGCTATCTAGGGTGCCACATGTGCTACCAGAATTTGGGGTGCCATATGATTTCACCACGGCTTATTAATAAATCTCTAATATTAATAAGCCTGAGAGGGTTCTTGCCTAATATTTAGAGAAGAATTCTAAATACTGGCACAGATAGACAAGGCAGCATGGTATGTTTTAAGCCTTTATTTAGTGTGGTAGGTATCTAGGGAAGTGAAGGCTTTAGTTCAGGTAGGAGAGAGGGGAAAGTCTGGAAACTAGGGCAGCGTCGATACCACTCAGAAAGCAGGCCAAAGCCACGTGCAGCAAGTGCCTTGAGCTGCTATCCACTGCTTATCACCGACAGCAACGCAGAGACCAAGAGCCTTTTGCGACACTCCCTGCCTTTTTATATATATTTTCCACAGGGGAGTGGCTTGTGGCCAGGTGGGCGCTCCGGTATGGTAGAGCCTGATGTCACATTGGGGTGTAGTGGGGGTATCAGGTAGAGCCTGATGTCACACAGGGGCGTGGCGAAGGCGTGGTCTTCCAGCTCACAAACCTAATCAATTTTAGCCTGTATGGCTGCCTACTTCACTATGTCATAGTTTCTGTTCAGTTTCCCAAGTTTTCCTGCATATTTTTCCTCATGAACTCTTTTATTGAACTGGTGTATGAAAAAGTAAATTAATAAGTTTTTCCATTGGAACATGTTTTATCTTTATTCACAAAATGACTTCAGAAAATTATTTGAAAAGATTTTTATAGGGAATTAAGGTTTATGCTTTTCTTTTAATTTTTTTACAGTAGTCCTGGACTTCATCTTGAACACTAGTCTGTCCCATTACCACTTGCCTTTCCTGTTCTTGCAATTTCTCTACTTGTCCCCTCTTTTACTGCCTGTCACTGCTTCAGCCGGTTCTTTCAAAGATGCAGATGTAGATGAGTTCTCAGTCTTTCAACTTGTTTTCACTGCTACCAGTTGTTCCCTGCATGTCATTCTCCTCATTAAAATCAGGGTAATCTCTTCAAATTATAATTTTTTTCCCACAAGAAATTAAAATCACTTCTGCTTGTTCTCAGAACAAAGGACAAGCCTTTTGTTTTATAAAACAATGCTGGATCTGTTCTCTTCCTTCCTTTCCAGACTCAACTTTCTTCCTTTTCTTTGTGACATTTCACACTTTATAAACTCTTCTCATCCTGTGCATACTTTCACCAGTGACTTAGCACATGCTAGTCCCTCTGTAGGGAAAACTCTCCCTGAACTTCTTCCACTGGTGCAGGCTCACCCCTCTTTGGAAGTCAACTTGTATTGACTTATTTAGGAAGCCTTCTCTGGCATCTTTGTCTCTTGTACTGCATCACAGAGTTTTGACTCTATATTTTAACTGCTTATTTATTTTTCTGACTCTTAATTATCTGTAAACCCAATGAAGGCAGAGTCTCTATAAGACAAATATTTAACCTTATATTGTTCACAGTGTGGATATTTAATAAATGTTTGTTGACTAAATGAATGAACAGGTGAATTATATCACTCCTTCTGAATTTAAATATTTATTTCCATGAATATAATTGATTACAGGGCATTAAATATTTCATTGCATTCCACGAACATAATATCTAATTGATAATATTAATAAATAAAGAAGTCACATGCATTGAACAGATCCTATTATTCATTCATATATATGTGGTTTAATAAGCTTTAATTAAAGGAAACAATTCAACTACTTTGTCTACAAAGTATTTTAAAATTAGAAATTCTTATATGAGTAAAGATGAAATTAACTAAGGAAAATAAATGGTTATTGTTTTATGTAAATTTTTTGTCTAGGTGTTTTCCTTTTATAAAATTGAGCCATATTAGCCATACTGACTAGCTTTTTCCATTTAAAACTTCATGACTCTTGTTTCCCTATATTCTAAAATAGAATAATGAATAGCTACATAATATAACCATTCCAATCTTTACTAATCCAATCATATATTTGATCATTTATATCATTTCTTAATTTTTACTATTAACACATATAAATGTATTTTTACCTATACACAGTGATTAAATTCCTTAGGTTTAAAAGTTGTGGAAATGTAACGGCTAAATCAGAGGTTAGTGTTTTGAATAAGTGTTAACTCATATAACTTGTTGCAATGTACCATTCTTGTTCGCAGGGTAGGTGATGCTTTTGATCAGAGAACTTTCAGAGAAACTGATATCCTCACTGGAAAAACAAAAGCTATTAGCAATATAATTGGCAATGATTCCTTTGCTTAAATTTCCTTCCTCTTGAGATTGTACAGTTTCTCTATTTTATCTTGTTCACATTATTTTATTTCACTTCTTGGGCTTGAATGTATCTGCCAGATTGAAGACAATAACCAATGATTCACAAGTTTGTTGCTTGGATTAAATGACAGTATGTGTAACATTAGGTGGCACAATACCATACACATAATAGGAGCAACATAAATGCTAGTTGAAGCTGAAACTGAATAGCATATTAATTAAAATTAAAATATAAAATTTTCTTGCCAACAGATGATTCTGCTGCAGAGAGCTTTAATGGCAATGAGACTCTGGGGCCCAGTTCCATTGCTTCAGGGGGAACGCACAGCAGGGAGATGGGAGACTCCAACAGTGATGGCAAAACTGGGCTGGAGCAGGATGAGCAGCCACTGAACCTGAGTGACAGTCCCCTCTCTGCACAGTTGACTTCGGAATACAGAATAGATGATCCCAGCAGTAATGGAAAAAACAAATACAAGAATCTTCTAATTTCTGACCTCAAGATGGAACGAGAGGCGAGAGAAAATGGAAGCAAGGTAAGATCACATTACAATTTCCAGAGAATGCTTAATTTGGTCATGAAGATCACAAAGAAATCCCTACATAATAATGAAGTGCAGATTATTGTCCAAAAAATATTTAAAATATTGTCCAGTAATACATTGCCAAGAAACTTATAAGCATGTGTACTGTGTATCCATAAAATACAGTTTCAGGAGTAACAGTGAACAAAATAGATTGCTTCTTAAAGATGTCCATGACTTTTTAATGTACAGAATCTCATTTAATGTTTTTCACGTATACGATCTATTTATGGGTCTGTCTCTGGGAATTTGTTGAACACAGATGTGGAGGTTTCAGTTTCAGTACACAAGTTTGGTCTATTAAAAGATCATGGTCCTATTTCTCTGTATGAGGTAAGGGAGTATGGCAATGAAGTTTCAATTAAACTCTCCAGTTTGCTTTAGAGACTTGGGGACTTCAGTCAGTAATTTACTTCATGAACACTGGAGAACTGCTAAGTGTCAGTGTCCTGAATGAAATTTGCAGATTAAATAGGTTTTTGGAGACATAATTCAAAAGACAGATACACATTTCATGTATATCATTGTCCTTTTGATTCTTTTTATTAGAAGAAATTATAACCTCCCCATTCCCAACTGATTTAATTCAAAAAATGTAAACTTAAATTTCTACTAGTTTGAAATAGCACATACCAAGAACTTTGTCCTATAATTTTTGAAGTTATACTTTGGAACATTTGAAAACTTTTATGGAATGTACATATTAACTCCCTTCCTTCATCCCTCTCTCCAAGTTAGAGTTCTTGAACAGTCTTTTGACATAGTTTCTAAAAGCAAAACGTCTTAATCTGGATTAATTTCTGCATTTGCTGAGGCACTGTGCTTCCTAAATTGACTCAATTTAAATCTTCTTGCTTGCCTGAGGGGATGTTGTTTTATCCTCTTTTGAGCAAGTCACTAACATTATCAGACACTTAAGTATTTCTGCCTCAGGGAAGCCACTTCAACTTTTGCTGTGCTAAATGTACAAATATCCTCTTCAGTGGTTTTCAAGCTGAATCTCACAACCACATATTTTAGATTCACTGTCATGATCTGAATCACTGGTTATGATCTCAGAATAAAATGACCCTTAAGTTTCCCTGGCCTCCACATAACCCTGTTTTCATCACACTTCAATTACCGTGAAACTTACTTTTAATGCTAGTGTCTGTTGAGCTTTTTCTTAAGATTATCCAATGATTTGCTCACTTCTTCTTTATCCCCTTATTCAACATTATCCTAGGAACTAGGCTCATTAAAACACATTCTTGCATACATTAAATGTGATGGAGTTAAGAGAGTTAGGAGAAATATGGATTGTTTGGGCTGTATGTGAGTGTTGAGATGAGAGATGGGCACTGGGAGAAAGATATACCCCCAAGGCACGGAATTAATGCTTTGGTAAAGGATGAACTGCTCCCAGAGCCAACTGAGGAGCAGCAGAGAGGCAGAATGAAGCCAGAAGGGTATGCACAGGTTATAGAAGCTAAGCAAAGTCTACCTCTCAAGGAGAATGGATAATGCTTTGATGGACAACAAAGAGGAAAATAGAAAATAACTGAATTAGTGAAAACAGTTTTTGTAGCTCATTGGAAGCAGAATCAAAAGAGATTATTTATTCATTCTTTCATAAAGGGACTAGTGGGACATTTGTTTGCCCTAGTGGTTAACATACAGGTTAAGATACCCACGTCCCAGTCAGAGTGGCTGGATTTGAGTCCCAGCTCCAGCACGCCATCTAAGGTTCCTGCTGATGTGGACCCAGAGAGGTAGCAGGTGCTGGCCCAAGTATCTGGGTTCTTGCTGTGTTTGTGGGAAATGCACGTTGAGCACAGGGCTCTTGACCTTGGCTTGGCCCAGTCTCAGATGTTGTAGGCATTTGGGGAGTAAACCAATGGATAGGAACTTTCCTTGTGTCTTTGTTTCTCAAATTAAAAAGCAAAGTAACATTAAATATTTGACACTCATAGAATAAACCTAGAAATGAAATGTGAAGCAGGAGAATTTTAGTTAATATTGCACGATATATTAAAAATTGGCTGAAGGGGCATTATAGTCCAAGTAAGGGACAGGCATTCAGCTCAGACTTTAAAATGCTGATTGTGATGCCTGCTTCCCATATTAGAGTATCTTGGTTTGAATGCAGGCTCTGGCTTCTGATGCCAGCCTCCTTCTTATGTGCACCCCGGGAGGCAGCAGGTGATGGCTGGAATAGTTGGGTTCCTGCCACCCACATGAGAGACCCATACTGAGTTCTCAGCTCCCAGTTTCAGCCTGGACCCTTGACTGTTAGGGGCATTTGGAGAGTGAACCAGTGGATGGGAGCTCTGTCTTTCTGTCTCTTGCTTTATCTTCTTCTTCTTATTATTATTATTTGACAGGTAGAGTTATAGACAGTGAGAGAGAGAGACAGAAAAAGGTCTTCCTTCCGTTGGTTCACTCCCCAAATGGCTACCACGGCCGGCACTGTGCCGATCTGAAGCCAGGTGCCCCTTCCTGGTCTCCCATATGGGTGCAGGGCCCAAGCACTTGGGCCATCCTCCACTGCCCTCCCAGGCCACAGCAGAGAGCTGGACTGGAAGAGGAGCAACCGGAACTAGAACCTGGCGCCCATATGGGATGCCTGCACCACAGGCGGAGGATTAGCCAAATCAGCCACAGCACTGGCCCTCTTGCTTTATCTTTCAAATAAAATAAGTAAAATTTTTAAAAGATGCCAAAGTAAGAAATACTATATTTATTGAAATATTAATCAAAACGGGTTTCCTAATGAAGTGTCTTCAGCTCTGTAGGAAATTTTAGATTACCATGTTTTATTCTGAAAATGTCCACTTCTATGCTCTGAGGACCTGGAATGCAGATAGAGAAGGTGTATTGATATTTTGCTATTTTGGTAGGGATTGCATTGAATCTGTAGATTTCTTTAGGTAGTATAGACATTTTAATGTTATTGATTATTCTGATCCATGAACAAGGAATATCTTTCTATTTTTTGTGTTCGTGATGATTTCTTTCACCAGTGTTTGATAATTGTCATTGTAGAGATCTTTCACTTCTTTGGTTAAGTTTATTCCTAAATATTTTATTTTTTGTGGTTAATGTGAATGGGATTTCTTTCTTGATTTCTCTTTTTGTGAGTTCATCATTAGCATACAAAAATACTTTTTTATATGTCTATTTTATAACCTGCAACTTTACTGAATTAATTTACGGATTCTAACAACTTTTTCAAAGGATATTTAGATTTTTCCATGTAGAACATCATGCCATCTGCAAACATGTATAATTTGAGAACCTCTTTTGCAATTGTGATGTCCTTTATTTTTTTCTCCTCCCTAACTGCTCTTGTTAAATCTTCCAGTACTATATTGAGTAAGCGTAGTAAAAGTGGACATCCTTGTCTTGTTCCAGATCTGAAGAGAAAGGCTCAGCTTTTCCCCAATCAGTATGATATTGGCTATTGGTTTGTGAAATATAGCCTTTATAATTTTTAGGAATGTTCCTTCTATACATAATTTCTAGAAGGTTTTTATCATGAGGGAGTGTTGCATCTTATCAAATGCTAGTTCTGCATCTATTGAGATTACTAAGTAGTTTTTGTTCTTCATTCTTTTTATGTGATTTATGACATTTATTGATAAGTGAATGTTGAACCACCCTTGCATTTCTTTAATCTCTCTTGATCATGATGTATGATCTTTTTTATATTCATTTTGCAAATATTTTGTGGATAATCTTTGCATCTGTGTTCATTAAGAATATAGATCTATCAACAGTAAGGGTGAGGGCTGATCAAGTCACCATTTCTCATAGTGTTCATTTCACTTTAACAGGTTTCCTTTTTGGTGCTCAGTTAGTTGTCACCTATCAAGGAGAACAAGTGGTATTTGTCCCTTTGGGATTGGCTTATTACACTCAGCATAATGTTTTCCAAATTCCTAACAGGGATCACTTTTCAGTTAAAATTTAAACACCTAAGAATAATTGTGTGTTGATTACAGTTCAATCAATGGTACTAGAACAAAAAAAATACTAAAATGGATAAAGTATTACATTGATCAGCCCTCATCCTGACTGTTGATGAGCAACTTGATATGTTATCCCTATTAGTATTTTTTTTGTTTGTTCTACTTAATACTTTTGGTTGAATACTGTAATCAATACACAATTCTTCTTAAGTGCTGAAACTTAACTGAAAAGTGATCACTGTTAAATGTAAGAGTGGGAATAAGAGAGGGAAGATGTGCAATTCGGGACATGCTCAAGCTGACTTACCTCAAACGGTAGAGTTAGAAACATACCAGGGGATTCCAATTCAATCCCATCAAGGTGGCATGTACCAATGCCATCTCACTAGTCCCAGTGATCAATTTCTGTTCACAATTGATCATAATGATAGGACTAAGAACCAAAGGGATCACATAAACAAGAATAGTGTCTGCAAATACTAGCAGATAGAAGAAAAAAGGGAGAGAATGATCCAACATGGGAAGTGAGATACACAGCAGACCCATAGAATGGCAGATGTCCTAAACAGCATTCTGGCCTCAGAATCAGCCCTTAAGGCATGCAGATCCGGCTGAAAAGCCCATGAGAGTATTTCAGGCATGGAAAGCCAAGACACTCTGGGGGAAAAAAAAAAACCTAAATGAAAGATCTCTGCGAGTGAGATCCCAGTGGAAAGAATGGGTCATCAAAGAAGGAGGGACCTTTCTCTGAAGGGAGGAAAGAACTTCCACTTTGACCATGACCTTGTCTAAAAATTATCAGAGTCAGTGAACTCAGGGGGCTTCCATAGCCTTGGCAGCTCATGACAAGAGCCTAGGGTGATTACTGATGCCATAAACAAGAGTGTCAATTTGTTAAGTCAACAACAGGAGTCACTGTGCACTTACTCCTCATGTAGGATCTTTGTCCTTAGTGTGCTGTACATTGAGATTGAATGCTATAACTAGTACTCAAACAGTATT